CCAAGTTTGGTCCAGATCCTTCATTGTTTGAATCCATAGTGCTCTCTGGATGTAGGCAAACTACAACTCCAAAACTCAAGGTCAATATCCACCAAACCCTTCCAGTATTTTACGTTGGTTGTGGGAGTTCTGTGTGCCAAATTTGGTTCAATTCCATCACTGGTGAAGTTCAGAATGCTCTCTGATTGTAGGTAAACTATAAATTCCAGCAACTGCAACTCTGAAATGACAAAATCAATCCCCACTAAATCCACCAGTATTAAAATTTGAGCGTATCGGGTATTTGTGCCAAATTTGATCCAGTGAATGAAAATACATCCTGCATATCAGATATTTACATAACAATAACAGTAGCAAAATTACAGTTCTGAAGTAGCAACGAAAATAATTTTCTGATTGGAGGTCATCACAACATGAGGAACTGTATTAAGGGGTCGTGGCATTAGGAAGGTTGAGAAACACTGCTTTATGCCTCAGCTTGCAGCAATCAAGGATAGTTAAGGGATAGAGTGGTCCAACCAGCATCCACTGCTGAAATCTACCTCCTTAGCATGCGGATAATGAAATGCAATAATGAAGAGGTGGAAATCTCTACCACTCTTCTTTGCCAGCCTTAGCAGGCTAGTATTTTTTTTCATGGAAATCATTTTTGTGAGTTTATTTACAAAACCACTGTAAATGTTTCTTGTGGACACATTTCATGACATTTTTCTTTTTGTGTGTGTATAATATTCATGCATACACACGTACACTTTTTGTAAAAAAGAGTGATGCAAATCTCAAGTCTAGTTTCAGATGCCCAATAAACAGTCAAGCCTTTGTTCTTTCCAAGGGTTATGAGGCATTCTTGTTGTAAGGAACTATTAGGTCATTATGTTGCATGCATAATAGGATGGCTATGAACATGTTTGGTCCATCCTTGCCTCCGCTGCTGAAGGCTGGGTTAGATGCCAACAGAAATTGTACACCTTAAATATTATAAGGAGTTGTTTATATGTCTAGGAGGTGGTCTGTAAAGTTTTGAGGTGGTAATATGAGCTAGATTATTTCAGACTGCTGGTTAGGGTGCCAGTTTAAAATCCCTAATTATACCAACTCAAGCACATGTGCTAATTATACCAACTAGCACATGGAGAGTAGGCTGTTTAGCTGCTATATGTTTTTCTTATAGGGTTTTGTTGTTGTTAAATATATGCAGCATTCAAAAAGGGCATCTCTTCCATCTGTTGTCTAAATTGGCAGATTCCAAAATTCCACCTCATTCTCCTTCAAGTTCATATCAGGTTCTAGAAGATCTTGCCAGTAAGGAAATGTAGGGGTTTTCACGTACATTAAACTTGGTGATTCATCCTTTCAAACACTCAAGTGTAGAATTATGAACCCCATTTCCCTGTGTGACATTCATATTGTCTTCATTGTCTGTCCTCTAGCAAGCAAGCCAGTAATGAAGTATTCAAAAGGAAACTCCCCTAAAAGGCCACTGGGTCAGATGGTTAGTGTTGTAGTGCAGCCTAAGGCTGGTGATTTAGAGAAGATTGTGGGATTTCCTGTGGTATTTTCTGGGGCAAGTGATGAAGATTCAAGTTAGGGAAGTGATGGTTCTGTCTGTGAGAAACCTGACTTGGAAAGTGCCAGGCTTCAAGGTCAGTCAGAGGAGAAATGGTTACCAGAAATGGTAACATTAGATAAGGTGTGGAGCAAAGAGCTAAGTGATATGGAAGGTTCCCAGAGAAAAACACCTGGAGTTATGGAGATTAACAATAATCTTATACAGATGAGAGTAGAAAATAAGTAGTGCTGGTCAGAGCGATTATGTGGGAAAGTGGTGGAGGGAATTCATGGGAAAAGCAGTGACTTCATGATTGCCTATTAATCAGCAAGTTGTTTCCTAAGGATTAGTTCAGGCAACGTAGTGTTTGAGTGAGAAGCTAGGCCTGAGTTCTCTGGTTTTGGTCAAGCCTTGGTTTTATTTTGAAGTATTCTATAAGTTTTCTATGTTCTTGTTTTCATATTCCTGCTCAAGTTTTGCTAAGCATACCTTTTGCTTGTGAATTTATGCTGTACTTGTGGTTTTTGGCTATTTCTGGACTGTGTTACATTTAGATCTGTATGAGACATTTGGATTCCTCTTTACAAGTTACTTTGAGTGAAAGAGGTTGTCAGCTAAATCAGAAGCCTATGAGTTATATATGGATGGCTCTCTTATCCAGTCTAAATATCCAGTTTTAACTTACCCATGATCCAAAAGATTTCCCCCCTGCAGGTGTTTGTGGAAGTTTCTAGGTTCTCCTATGCAATTCTAAGGTATGTGTCTGGTCCATGTGTGGTAAAAATATATGCTTTAGGTATTCATTGTGAGAAGGGGCTTGGAACACATCCCCGGCAGGAGTCATACTGTATGTTTTTGTATGTTATATCAACACATGAAAGAATTGACTGAAGATAGGTGAGAAAATGGATAAGAAAAACAAGAAAAGCATGACATTGAGTAGGAGAGAGTATAACACAATAAACCCTCTTGTATTATCAGCTAACATGCTTAAGGCAAAAATGATGGGTGATTGGTTTCTTTTTAATCACATCATAACTACTAGGCGATTCTTGAGAAGCAGAAAGGGGGCCCTAATGAGCAAATTGGAGTAAGGGCCCTGCTAAGGGTTGATCATAAGCTAATTCCCACTTTCACGGTGTGGTGGATAATTTTTAAGCAGAAGTACTTCCTGCGCATGGCATTTCAGAGATGCTATGAAGACAATGAAAGAAGTAATTCTTGAACATCTTCCAGCTCAGACTTAATCATGCACATTGTCTCAGAGGAATGGCTGCATTCAGTTGGCTCATAAGGTTGCAAGATGGGAGGCCTGCAACCATACAAATCTGCCCACACACTTTGGTCCTCAAGAGAAGCTTGGGTAGGTCCCATCTCCTCTCAACTATGTCACAGAAAAAAGACAGGACTTTCTCTGTAATGTTGTCCAACTCAGGAACATTTGGTGAGGGAAAAAATGAGTAATTCACTGTCTGTTTTAGGTACCAAGTAAACAATTCATTTTGGCCATTTTCCATATCAGAAGCCATTTTGAACCCAGAAGGCCCCAGATTATCAGACAAACCTGGGGAAACTCTTTTGAAACCTGAATATCTTGACACTCAGTTAAGAACAATTGTAGAAGACTGGTAAAAAGGAAAAAAATGTCCTGTTCTTTTTATCAGTTGTGATACTACTGCTTGATTTTTAATAGTTAATAGTTAACAGTTTTAATAGTTAGCATGTTTAGCTTTTTGCCTGTGCATATTATCTTGGAGTCTCCACTGAAGAGCCGAGACACAGGATTAGGAATGTTTTATTAAACTAAGTTGAAGAGACTTTTGGTTTTTGTTCTTACCCATAAAATGGTACCCAAGTGTGTTTTCAGTACATTTGGCAGTTTCTTTATACAGTATGTGATTTTAATGGTTGTTTCAATGTTATGTTTTAATTGGATGGTTTTAATGTTTTTGTTAATTCATTGATGTATGTATATATGCGGCATTGAATTGTTGTGTTTGTAAGGCTGCCTTCAGTCCCCTTTGGGATTGAGAAAGGCGAGATACAAGTATGGTAAAAAAATATGTATTAATAATCTTTATTTCACAAAACAATTCCCATTCTTGGAATCTACCCAGTTTGGAGTTTCCTTACTTATGAGCATCTATAATCTGTTCAAACTGTGTCTTAATACAGATCACTGTGAAAAACTATCAAGCCACATGTCCCCCTTTTGCGCCTCTAGTTTTACTTGTATTAAATTTGATTGATATGAGACGTCAATGCAGACAAGTTCCCTAGAACTCTCTATTTCCTTGTGACCTGTACTGATAAGATCTCCGAATCCCGCTTGACAAGCTCATCAAGGAAATAGTGACTCTCTGATAAAAGTAATTTATGCCAGTCTGCAATGTAGTGAGTCGTAGAGGGTTTTAGTTGGAACAAAGGGTGTGTATTGCATTTCTTTTCATTTTGTAATACAGCACTAATTCTGAGTTGTCAGATATGGAATGACAATTGGTGTCACAATCCATATTTATGCGTACATATTCTAGTCACATGGAACACATGATAATCTACCATCTTTGAAGTCAGACCGGAGAAAATAATATTTTTCTAATCATCTGCCTATACATTTTTTTGTCTCAGCACTATCTGTTTCTGGGCAGCCAGTGTGATGTTTCAGTGTTGAACCATAATACCACACGAAATACACACCAAGGAAGAAAACAAAATGTTTGGAAACGAAAACCTATGTCAGATATGGATAACGTTTAGCCTTCCAGATGTCAATTGACTGCAATTCCCAGTGGTGAGGAATACTGTAAACTACAATTCAGCAACATCTGGAGTGCTAAGCTTTGTCCACAACTCTCCTATGTGGAAAGCCTGAAGGACTTAGTTACATTTAGCTTGTACAAGAGACAACTACCAGGCAACATGATAGCAGCCTTCAAATATTTGGAGAACCATCACATGTATGTATTGTTGAAAGCTTTCATGGCTGGAATCACTGGGTTGTTGAGTTTTCTGGTCAGTATGGCCATGTTCAAGAAACATTCCTTAGAGGATGCCTGCCATAGAGGCAGGTGAAATGTCTGGAGAGAATGCTTCTGGAACATGGCCATACTGCCCGGAAAACTCACAACAACCCATCACATGTATAATGGAATAAATGTTTTCTCTCACTTGACTATAGGATCTGTAATGATAGGTTTATATACAAGGAGGAGGATTGCTGCTAAACATTAAGAAGAATGTGGATGCCAAAACAAATAACTGGCAGGGCAACAGTGTATTCCTCTTTGCTAAAAGTTTCACAGCAGAGATTGCATCACTTGTCAGGAGCATCATAGTAGAAGATGTTTTGCAGTGGCAGGGTGCTGTACTGGATAACCTTTAATGCCACTTCTAAATTGACAATTCTGTTCTCCCTCCCCATAAACTCAAAAGCAAGAGATGACATTACACATGGAAGGAATAAAGGAATGATTTATTTCAGGGTCTTTATACAATTCAAAGCAGGAGAGGTTGGGGAGGCATTAAATCCCTTCAATCCAGATTCTCTCGGAATATAACATCCACAAAGAAAGCCCATCCTGTGTCACCATAAGTTCAAGATCAGGCTTCTCCAACTGGACCCCTCCAGATGTATTGTATTACAATTCCTGCCATCACTGGCATAAGGGCTAGGGATGGTGGGAGGAGTAACCCAACACACTGAAGAACACTTGACCGGAGGAGAAGGGTCCAGGCAACCCTGTTTGAACAGAGAAGCTTCCTTCTCACTCAGCCAGAAAGCTAAAGAAACAATGACTTTTTGCACTTTTTACATACAGAATTTTCCTTTGGGAACCAAAAGGTTCCAACAGTCTTAATTTATCCAAAGTGACGCACGTATGAAAGGGCCTAAAAGGTTAATCCATCTGAGAAGTGGCACTCCTTTAAGGCTCAATTTGAAATGAAGTGGCTTCATTTCCACTTTCAGTGGATGCCAGAACAAATAACTTGCTTATTTTACTGCTCATGTATCTAAAATGCCTCCTCCACCTATAAGCTGGCCAGTTGTTATGGGATAGCTGGGCCATCCCCTCAGGACACACAGAGATTATCCTTTATCTTCCCAGTCTTTCCTCTCCCTTTTAAATTAATGTTTCCTGATCACTGCAGGCTCAACTATTTTTGGAATTTGTTCTGCATGGTAGAGACTGGGTGTTAAAATACACATAGTTATTTAAAAATATTATCAAGGAGTGGAGAATTAGAGGGCAGCCATGTTAGTTCATAGCAGCAAGAAGACAAAAGTGCCATGTTGTTGCAGGGGCCAATTTATTTATCGAGGCATGTAAGAGTTTGCATACTCAGCTGTCCAATTTCTCAAATAGATGCAGGTAGGGGGAGGAAGCAAGGGAGACATCTACGAACTCTGTCCTCACCAATTGAAGGAATCAGAGGACACTGAAAAACCTCTTTGCCAGCTGCACAGCTTTTCAAAACAACACATTTAAAGCAGAAGGGGCAGACATGTGCCCTTCTTCAAACCAAGCACACTTTTCAGCATCTGATGGATCTTAGCTTGCACTGTATACCAGATGGGACCCACAGCGATGAATATAGTCAGATGTGCAACTGCAGACATTTCAAAATGGCACTAACCCAAGGACAAAAGCCAGCATAGACGTGCCCTCCATTTGTGCATGGAGGAACTGGGGCCCCTGTGTTCTTGAAGAGTTTTGTGCAAAACTGAGCCAGAATCTTTGGGTTCTGTCCCCAGCTTTCAAAGGGTAGTGAGGTTCAAGCGGATTACTGGAAGGAGACTCCAGGAGCTGGAATTTTACGTTCAACTCCCCTTGTTAATAATGCCCAAGGGATCAAAAATGGCCCTGCTAAAATTAGCATTAGTTTATTAACTCATTAACAAAGACAATAAAATGCCAAAAAAGAGGAGATGACGCTCCCCCTTCAATTTCTCCAAAGGGGGCGTAGAGGGTAGGGGCAACCGATTTCCCTTCCCTCCTGCAGAGGAGAGGAGCAGCCCCTCCCCTTTCCCAACCTGGGCACCAGGGTCTCACCCCAACACATCACATTAAGGGGGACCAGAGATGGGTTACCAGGGTTCACAGCCACGTAGCAAAGCGCAGTTGTACAGCAAGTCAACAGGGGCACCCCCAAATTGGTACTCCCTGAATCCTGTGCTCCCCTCAAAAATCTGATAGGGGAGCGGGTACAGTCCCAAATCACCTCCTGTTGAAGCAGAGACCTGCAAGAACAAGAAATCCAGTGAACATTGCGCCTCCTGACAAACAGTCTGGACTACAAATCAGTTAGCTATTACTTAAACCAGAATCTTTTGAGTAATTTATGATGGCATAACTAGAGGAAGGGTTTATACAAGCACAACTATCTCTTCCTGTGTTGCATAAGGAAATATCTGGTATTTCCTGTTGCAACAATTGTTATAGCCTGTATAACAGCTGCTGGATAGACAGTTTTGCTCTTCTCTTATCTCCTTTGAGCAAGCCAAGCGGACAGTTTTGCTCTTTTCTGGTCTCCTTTGCACTGCAGAATTCTTTATTATTGTTGTTGTTGTTGTTTGTTTGTTTATATCCCGTTTTATCTCTCCATAAGGAAACTCAAAGCGGCTCACAAGTAAAAACATTCCAACGCAACTTAAAATGTACAAATATAAATAAATATAAAACAGTATTAAATAACGTTAGTATTAAAACAATCCGGGTTAAAAGCATATAAAATCACATCACAAAATCACAGCAGCCCTTGATGGTCTTAAACACCATCATCTTTAAAAGCCTGCCTGAATAAAATGGTTGTAGCCTGCCGCCAGAAGGACAACAGAGAGGGGGCCATTTTGGCTTCCCTGGGCAGGGAGTTCTAGAGCCAAGGGGCAGCCACCGAGAAGGCCAGCTTCTCATTCCCACCAACTGAGCTTGGGATGGAAGTAGGACCGAGCTGCCACACTGTACCAGCTTAAAACAGGATCCATACTATAGTTGCAGCATGTTGCAATTTACAAAGCTTGCTACAGTGAATCCAAGACAAACTTTTGCAACACACACACCTCAGCAGTTCAGTTAAAAGGGCTTTTTCTGTGTGTGAGGCAAACACAGGAAGCATGGTTGGCGTTTCGCATCTATTTCATAATTTGTCTTAAGTGTCTGCCTTGTGAATTAGTCCCATTATGTAGTACTACCTCAGTATGGCAACATTTCCATGGCTCTTTTGGCAATGGGAAGGGATGTTTAATCCTTGTTTGAGGAGATGAATCATATTTTTATTATCTCCAAATAATTAGTTATAGGAACTTCTTTTTCTTAGGAAAAAACTACTACAAAAGTTTGAAACCATTTTAATCTCAGTGGCGCAATGGGTTAAACCCTGAATATAGCATATATTCACATCTCTAAACCAAAGGGGTAACCTAATAATAATAATAATAATAATAATAATAATAATAATAATAATAGGATTTAAAGATAGAACTGCAAAGACTCTGGCACAAGCTAGTAAAAGTGATCCCAGTGGTGATCGGCACACTGGGTGCAGTGCTTAAAGACCTTGGCCTGCACTTAAAAATAATTGGCACTGACAAAATTACCATCTGTCAGCTGCAAAAGGCCACTCTGCTTGGACCTGCATACATTATTCACTGATACATCACAATCCTAGACATTTGGGAAGTGTGATCAAATACAAAACCCACCCAGCATAGTGATCTTGTTTGCTGTGTACTAATCTTGTTGTGTATCAAATAATAATAATGATAGTAATAATGATAGTAATAATACCACCCTATGCCAAAAGGCAACATCTAACTTACGCTGAAGCCCAGCATTCCATTTTTAAAAATGAAGATATACTCACCAATGGTCCAAACAACCCCTCAGGGACCTTGATAGCCAGGCTGGAAGCGTGCCGTCTCCTCAAATATCAGTTCTTTCAGTTTCTCTTTGGGAAGATCATCCAGCTCCATGTCAAAAGTGAATGGCTCTTCAGCAATCGGCTAGAGGGAGCCAAAACCAGAGAGAGACACAGATAAAATCCAGTTATCCTGGTTTGTAAATGTCTTCCTCCCAAGCCCACTAGCTAAGCTGGGAGTTGGCAGTTCAAAAAGCTTATTTTTTTTTCAACTCTGGACTTTCTCTTTCCCGATCCTGTTAAACTCCAAGAACCAAGTACCTCATCTGAGGGGTCGTAGTACTGCTCTAGGTAAGGATGGGCCAAGGACTCCTCCACTGTGATGCGTTTGTTGGGGTTAAAGGTCAACATTTTGTCCAACAGGTCTAGAGCTGAGAACAGACATAAGAGAATGCACTATGAGTAACCAAACAGCAGATGGCAACAGAAGCAACAATGCTATTTCTTCTTATATGTTGATAAACAGATGGTTGTAGGGAGGGAACGTAGCCAGAGGTGGCAGCAGAGTGCAGTTTAGGATGGCAACGGCTGGTTTTTAAGGCAATAGGTCAGAACTCCTAGGGCTGGCTATGTGCCAGACGGAAGACTGTGTCAAGTGAAATCACCATAAAAACCCCTGTGGCGCAATGGGTTAAACCCTTGTGCCAGCAGGACTGCTGACTGAAAGGTCAACAATTCAAATCCGGGGAGCGGAGTGAGCTCCTGTCTGTCAGTTCCAGCTTCTCATGCAGGGAGATGAGAGAAGCCTCCCACAAGATGGTAAAACATCCGGGCATCCCCTGGGCAACGTCCTTGCAGACGGCCAATTCTCTCACATCAGAAGTGACTTGCAGTTTCTCAAGTCGCTCCTGACATGAAAAAAACCCCTAAAAAACCATAAAGCATGAGCCCAACTGGATCTCCATGCACCCCACCTAAGATGAGTATCCTGTTTCCAGCAATGGTTGACCAGATAATTCTCACAAAGTAATATTTTAACCTTCTCCTAAAGTATATCTAACATTCAGAAATATACTACCTTCAATGTACCCAGTTAGCTATTATCCTGCATTAGCTTGCCAAGCCCCTTACAATCTAATCCAGTCTAATGGAAGAAAATAAGCTGAGCAGTTGCTAGCAAAAACAGAACAAGAGCAGATGTCCTGGGTCAAATTTAATTCAGGATTGGCTCCAGGCTATAAAACACTGAAGACTTCTACCACAGGTAACTGTCATTAGCCAACCATATATGTTCTGAGCTCGACACTGTGAGTCATGTATTCTATGACATGTACATGTTCTGCATTCTTTTCCTCACTTACCTTTGGGATCTGCCTTAGGGAACAGTTTGTTCCAGGGTACCTTGGGCTTTTGGGGCAGCGACTGGAGATAGTTGCGCGCCTTCATATTGATGATGCAGTTCAGGTCATCCTGAGATGGGGAACCTAGAATACCTGGAGAGATAGATGGGCAGAACATTGGGATCTAGGATGTGTCAAGTCTTAGAGAAGAAACAGGTATCGAATCTGTAACAAGGAATTTTTCAGGCATTAAAAAGAGTGTAACCAGAGATCAAGAGAGGCAAAGCCTACAATTCAACAACAAGCTAGGAAAATCTCTCTTACACAATCTTGCCAAATGTTTGACACTCCCCACTCTCTCCGCTTACCCAGGATATGGTTAAGCTGATCCAGGTAGTGCTTGCCAGGAAAGATGGGTCGGTTTGACAGCATCTCGGCCAGGATGCAGCCCACAGACCATATATCAATGGACTTGGTGTAGCCCTAAGAAAGGGGAAAGACATGGAAAGACAATCCTGGATGTGGGACCCTTAGTCCAACCCTGCTCACATCTTATTAAGGCCATATAAAACAAATGATCTGTGAATGTCACTTCCTGCCTCTTGCATTACAGCAGCTTTTAAGCAGAATAAAAACTCAAACTTTCAATCCCTCATAGAGAAAAGCATCTTCAACTGTTGAGTAAGTGAGAAGTAATCAGGAATACCTCCTTTCTTCCAGCCAAACCAAAATGGAGGTGTTGTGCAAAAACCTCAGAACTCAAATGTTTCAAAGATAAGAAAATAAGGTGGCAGTTTAAGCAATGTAGAGAGATGAGGAAGAAAACAGACAATGGGAAGGATGGCTTTTGAAGGAAGTGACAAGCTAAAGTATGGGTAGGCTCAGTCACATGAACCTTAACAGATAAGGGACAGGAAATAGAAAGAAATTTGGTAATTGTATTGTGGCTTTTTGCTGTCATTTCACTGCAGTGAGCTACCGAGACGACATGATAAAAGCCTTCTCAAATGTAAAGGGTATGCTTTAGTTTATAACTTTTTCACATCTTAGAAGCTATTTTCATTGAAGACTAAACAAGGTATTATTTTTCTTTCCAGGGGAGTCAGGAATCCGCATTCACAATTACACAAGCCAACAAAATCAAACGTTTGTAATAATCAGAAATAAGAGTAGCAGATTAAATCAATTTTATGCTGATTTTATTTTATGAAAACATTTAATGAAACATACTTGTTGGTTTGTTATTTATCATTACTTCAGGAATCCTGGCTTCCAAGCTCTCTCTACCTCAAGCCACTTACCTTGGAATTGAGCATGATTTCAGGGGCTCGGTACCAGCGGGTGGCAACATATTCTGTCAAGAACCCTGTGTGGTCATGGTCTGGATCAGCAATTCGGGCCAAGCCAAAATCACAGATCTGTAAGCAGAAAGGGAAGAATGGGATAGGCAAGAGTGGCAAACCCAGAGTGAGCAAAAATTTAATCAAAATGCAATAGGGTAGAGGTGGATATCAGATGGGAAAAGCAACAAGAGGCTGAAGCAACAGTTGCTAAATGCCACCTTCAGGTCGCATGTGGTATTGATGAGAAGATTGCTGGGCTTTAGATCCCTATGCAGCACATTGGCAGAGTGAATGTATTTCAGCCCTCTGAGAATCTGGTAGAGGAAGTAACAGATGTGGTCGTTGCTGAGTTGCTGGGTCTTTAGCAGCTTGTACAGATCTGTCTCCATTAAATCCTGAACTATGTATCTGTAAAATGAGAAAATGTGCCTCCTCCAAGAAAGGGGAGGCAAAGAAGATAGTCAAGGGAAGTAACAATGCACATTATTTGGGGCAAAACATAAAACGCACGCATAATCAAATGAAGCCATGACACTAGCAACAACATCACCATCCTCCAAACTGGAGTGACTTTCATCAATTGGCGTTAAACCAGAGAGAAGGGACTTACATCACTTTGATGAGTCTTGTCAGAAAGAGTATCATCTTAAGGCAGCTAAGGCCTCATCACACTAGAGAATGAATCCACTTTAAATCCAGTTGCTGCCTCCTGCAAAATTCTGGGGTTTGTGGTTTAGGGAGGAGCCTTTAACAGCCTCACCAAACTATAAATCCCAGAATTCTGCAGGGGGCAGCAACCAGATTTAAAGTGGATTCATTCTCTAGTGTGATGAAGTAGAATGACTATAATCACTTTCCAATTCCATGATGTGCAGATATGCACAGAGATGATACTGAGAAAGCATTTTGAGTTTTTAGATGCAAAGTACTCACAGAATAATATCTGAAGCTATTGCCAGAAGGCAACAATGAAGCAACACAAAGCTGCTTCCTAGTATAATTAATTCCCAGCAATCCTTGTTTTTGGTCAGCTGAAGCTTCCAACATGAATATTTGGTTCAAAGATAGACTAGAACTAGGGAGGATGGACACAGATTGTCATTTCATGTATACATTTCCTGTACATAATAACCATCCATTTATGAAGGATGTTGTGGAAGGGATAACAAAGATTTGCAAGGATACACATCACGCATCTGATCAATAGTAGGGGCACGCAAAATGTCATTGATGCCGATGACATTCTCATGTTTGAAGCGAAGTAGTATCTTTATTTCGCGCAGTGTGCGTTGGCAATAGGTTTGATGCTCGAAGGGACTGATCTTTTTGATGGCAGCTCGAATCTTGTTCACATGGTCATAAGAAGAACTGTGGAGAAAGGAAGGCATGGGCAGATAAGGATCTCTAGGTCTGCGTTGTCTTCTCAGTAAGTTATTTCAGCACACTTTCATAACAGAAATTATCCAGTATCATTCCAGTGGAAGAAAGCAATGTGATGCTTTAAAAGAGAAACAAGCAGAGAAAACTGCACCCAAAAGCTTGTCAAATAGCAAGATACACACCCCAGATTTATATTTTTGTCAATGGGATTGATTCAAGAACAGAAGTACAGGAGAAACACCAAGTTTTCACAATACAGATAATGAGATGCAATTGTTGATAAGAGTTCAGCTGTTCAGCGCAGTGCATTCAAATGGCAAGCTTGCTAGAATTGACACAATGGAGACCTGAAAAGTGTTAACACTTAATAACATGGAGAAATGCTTCTGAGGCAAGCCATGACCATCTTTCTAAGTATCATGTCTCTGGGCTTTTTCTCTCACACAGACAAGATGCTTAGAAAGATGGTCATGAATACATCAGCCTAAAGAAGCTACAGGTATTGGGAGTTCAAGCAGAAGCCTGGGTATCCATTCAACATAGTCAATTCAATGGTATGGTGGCTATGTATGGTGTTCTAAAATATTATAAAAAGTATCCTGGCTTAGAGAACCCTTCTAGACATAACTAACATCTACTGCAGTCCAGACATCTACAGGCTAATAGTAACATAACAACTGCAAATCAGGTGTTGACTTTAGTGTAGAAACCAGCATATATAATCAGAAATTAGGACCAATGAGCCACACTTGGGGTGCATTTACACCGTACAAATAATGCAATTTCACAACACTTTAACTCATGGCTCAATGGAATCACAGGAGTTGTAGTTTGGTGAAGTACCAGCATCTTTGGCAGAGAAGGCTAAAAGGCTTTGTAACACTACATCCCCCAGGATTCCACATTATTGAACTATGGGTGTGAAACTGCACTCATTATATAGTGTAGATCAGTGGTTCTCAACCGGTGGGTCCCCAAGTGTTTTGGCCTACAACTCGCAGAAATCCCAGCCAGTTTACCCGCTGTTAGGATTTCTGGGAGTTGAAGGCCAAAACATCTGGGAACCCACAGGTTGAGAACCACTGGTATAGATGCACCCAAAGCAGCTGGGATTTCTGGGAGTTGTAGCCAAAACACCTGGGGACCCACAGGTTGAGAACCACTGCTTTAGTGAAACCATCTGGCATACAGAACTAAAGTGTTTAAATACACCAGGCACCTAGTGTGATGCTTAACGAATACACAGCAGCGAAAGATTTGGAAAGGAAAAGCTTATCCATTTCGACTGATTTCTTGCAGTGCAACTATCTGAAAGACAATTGCTATCATTGGCAATTTCTTCATCGATTGCTGCAACGATGGCAGACATGATGGCTGCTGCCTCAGGCTCCCTGACATCTCAGGTGCATATACACTGGAGAAAATGAATGCAGTTTGGCGCAGCTTTTAAACGCCATGGCCCAATGCTATGGAATCCTGGGACTTATAGTTTTTACAATGTTTCTAGCCTTCAAAGAGAGCTGGTGCCTCACCAAGCTACAAATCCCTGGGGTGCCACAGTCTTGAGCCATGGCAGTTTCAAACTGCACTCATTCTAAGGCATAGATCAGGCAAGGGCAAGCTTGGGCCCTCCAGGTGTTTTGGACTCCAACTCTCACCATTCCTAACAGCCTCAGGCCCCTTCCTTTTGCCCCTCAGCCGCTTAAGCGGCTGAGGGGCAAAAGGAAAGGGCCTGAGGCTGTTAGGAATGGTGGGAGCTGGAGTCCAAAACACCTGGAGGGCCCAAGTTTGCCCTTGCTTGATCTATGCTGTAGAATAGATGCAGCCCTCGAAGCCAAACGCACAAAAGGGCCTGGTGTTGGCCCCCCTCCAAGGCAAGGCCTTAGCCAAGAAGCCTGGCAAATATTGGCCCAGAGAGATAGCGGGCCAATCCCTGGGAGGAGCTTAGTAGGCGGCAACCATAACTTTGCAGGCTTGGGGTGTGTTTTGTGTGCCTGATTGGCTTATAGTGCAATTCAGCCCTCCAGAGGTGTAGGACTTCAACTCCCAGGAGCCTCAGCTGGGCCAGGGTTCTTTGAAGGGTTGAGAGGCGCACAGTTATTGAGAACGACACCCTCTTTTTCTGGAGAGGTTCAGGAACTTAAAACAATATGGCGGAGGCCTGGTTCTGAGGGTACGGCGGCCGCGCGGGGCCAGTTTTAGACAGCAGAACGTTGGCCTAGGTTTGGGTACGGCGACCGAGAAGGGCCGTTCCGAGCTGTTCGCGCTCACGCTCTCTCACTCACCACACCATTCCGTAGGCGCCCTCGCCGATGTACTGCAGGTCCGTGTAGCGCGGGCCCACGTCGAACACCTGCCCTTTCACCGTCTCCACGCCCAATCTCGGCGCCCCGGGCACGGCTCCTGCCCCGCCGGGCGCTGCTGCTGTCGCTGCCGACATGGCCGATCCTCTGAAGAACCCCCTGCAGCCGCTCCTTAGTGCTGCTGCTGCTGCTTTACCCGGAACCGACACCGCCCGACGGCACTGCGCATGCGCTCGCCTTAGGAAGCTTGAGAGATGGCCACTGCGCAGGCGCACCTCAGAAGCTGCGGCTGGGAAGTTCTCCCCCTTCCCAGTGCGCAGGCGCAAAATTAGCCTGCTAGCGACATACACACCGCAGCGCGCCTGGGTGGGATTGGGACGTCAGGGGCTCAACCCGGAAGCGCCGCACCCAAAACATTCCACTCCCGCGAGGCCCCGCCTCCTCGGGCCCGAGAGGCCCCGCCCCTTGGCTCAGCGCGCCGCCAATCCCCTGCTCGAGGCCCCGCGCTGGTTCTTCTCTCAAGCCCCGCCCCCTCATGCTCCTTTTTGCCCAGAATCACGTGCTCGAACCCCCCCCCCCGCCCGAGTGTGCTAATAGAAAATGTTTATGCACATATTAATTGGTTAGGTTCCTTGACTCATCGCAATCCTTGTGGTTCTCATCCTTCCTAATGCCGCGACCCCTTGGCACAGTTCCTCATGTGGAGACCGCCAACCATAAAATTATTTCCATTACTACTTCACAACTGTAATTTTGCTACTGTGTTGTTGTAGGTTTTGTCGGGCTATATGGCCATTTATTTGTCCTGTCTGAGCAGCCAGTCCATTATGTGACCATGTTCTAGAGGCATTCTCTCCTGACGTTTTGCCTGCATCTATGGCAAGCATCCTCAGAGGTAGTGAGGTCTGTTGGAACTAGGAAAACGGGTTTATATATCTGTGGAATGACCAGGGTGGGACAAAGAGCTCTTGTCTGCTGGAGCTAGGAGTGAATGTTTCAGCTGACCACCTTGATTGGCTTGGGTAACCACGGAAAAATTTGGTTCTAAACTCGTTTTGTTTTTAGGGGGCCCTTGCGTTTCTTTTTTTTAAATATAATTCCGAAATTTTCCTTTTAAAAATTTTGAAATATACGAAATTTCGTATAATTACGAATCGATTCATTAATGGCGGACGCGATTGCGCAATATGCTAAAAAAACCTCCAAATGGGACAGGGGGAACTTCTGAAGCTTCCCTCTCCCTCTGTTGTTGACTGTTGGTGTGATAAAACAAACAACAACTATAAAACTTGCACCAGACATGCGAAAATAATTACGAAATAATTACGAAATAAATTGAAAAAATTGTTTCGAATCTTAATTACTCCTCACACTATTCCTGCATGGCTCAATATTGGATCGTAAGCTAATTTAAATACGAATTAATAATGAATTACGAAATTAATGAACGAAACCGCCCAAGCCTATTGATTAGCATTTGATGGCCTGGCAGTGCCTGGGGCAATCTTTTGTTGAGAGGTGATAATAATAATAATAATAATAATAATAATAATAATAATAAAACTTTATACCCCGCTACCATCTCCCAAGGGACTCGGTGCAGCTTACATGAGGCCGAGCCCACAATACATCAATACAAGCAATAACAATTACAGTACGAAGCAAAATACAAATACTAATACGAAGCCCGATTGCTCATTGGAGGGAAGGATACTAGAGACAAAGTTGAAGTACTTTGGCCACATCATGAGGAGACAACAAAGCCTGGAGAAGACAATTATGCTGGGGAAAGTGGAAGGCAAAAGGAAGAGGGGCCGACCAAGGGCAAGATGGATGGATGGCATCCTGGAAGTGACTGGACTGACCTTGAAGGAGCTGGGGGTGGTGACGGCCGACAGGAAGCTCTGGCGTGGGCTGGTCCATGAGGTCACGAAGAGTCGGAGACGACTGAACGAATGAACAACAATACGAAGCAATAAAAATAAATCTCATACACAGATGTCCCTGATTGTTTTCCCTCTGTTGTTTTGCTGTTGTAATTGTCCACAGGCTTGTCAGCCATAGCAGAGCACCTGATGAACCAACCTGGACACAGCATATTATTTGAGAACACAGAAGTGCTGGACCACTCTCACAACCACCATGTCAGACTACACAGAGAAGCCATTGAAATCCACAAGCATGTGGACAATTTCAACAGAAAGGAGGAAACCATGAAAATGAACAAAATATGGCTACCAGTATTAAAAAAACTCTAAAATTACAACAGCAAAACAACAGAGGGAAAACAATCAGGGACATCTAATCACATCTCAACAAAAGATTGCCCCAGGCACTGCCAGGTCATCAAATGCTAACCAAGGTGGTCGGTTGAAACACTCACAACTGGAATTAACTGGAATTTTGCTACTGTTATGAATCGTAATGCCAATATCTGATATGCAGGATGTATTTTCATTCATTAGACCAAAAACAAATACCCGATTGGGGAGGGGATGTAATTTTGTCATTTGGGAGTTGTAGTTGCTGGGATTTATAGTTCACCGAACAATCAAAGAGCATTCTGAACTCCACCAATGATGGAAATGAACCACACTTGGCACACAGAACTGCCATGACCAACAGAAAATACTGGAAGGGTTTGGTGGGCATTAACCTTGAGTTTAGGAGTTGTAGTTCACCTACATCCAGAGAGCACTGTGGACGCAAACTATAATAATAATAATAATAATAATAATAATAATAATAATACAATATTATAATTATATTTTTATATTACATGTAATATTACTAATAATATTACAATATAATGATATAGTACAATATAGGTACTATGCTAATAATATAATATATTGCATGTATATATCTTGTGAGGGGAGCCCCTGGTGGCGCAGTGGGTTAAAGTGCTGAGCTGCTGAGCTTGTTGACCAAAGGTCGCAGGTTCGATTCCGGGGAGCAGCGTGAGCTTCCGCTGTCAGCCCTAGCTTCTGCCAACCTAGCAGTTCGAAAACATGCAAATGTGAGTAGATCAATAGGTACCGCTCCAGCGGGAAGGTAACGGCGCTCCACGCAGTCATGCCAGCCACATGACCTTGGAGGTGTCTATGGACAATGCAGGCTCCTCGGCTTAGACATGGAGATGAGCACCACACCCCAGAGTCAGACATGACTGGACTAAATGTCAGGGGACAACCTTTACCTTTACCTATATATATCTTGTAAGCCGCTCTAAGTCCCCTTCGGGGTGAGAAGGGCGGCATATAAATGTTGCAAATAAATAAATAAATAAATAAATAAATAAAGGATCTGGACCAAACTTGGCACAAATACTCAATGTGGCCAAATGTGAACACTGGTGGAGTTGGGAAAAATAGACCTTCATATTTGGGAGTTGTAGATGCTTGGACTTATAGTTTACCTACAATCAAAGAGCATTCTGAATCCCCACCAATGATAGAATTGAGCCAAACTTTCCACACAGAAACCCCATGACCAACAAAAAAATACTGTGTTTTTGATGGCCTTTAGCGACCCTTTGACACCCCCTTGCAACCCACCCAGGGGGCCCAACCTCAAGGTGGAGAAACACTGAGCTAGCCAAAGTCATACCTGTGGGATTTCTGGTTATAAAGTGCAATGAGAGGAGTTTTTCCTTTACCTGATTTTAATTTAGTATAAAGCATGTGTGGGCTGCCTGTTAGTCATACAGGTCCTAAGGTAAAGGTTTGGACTCAAAAGTCTAAAAATAAAGCTAGAAAGGAATAGGCAACCCAGAGAAAGAAGTACCAGTTGCTGTAGAATTAATGCAACAGGATCGGAATAAAGCAGGCACGGGCAAACTTCGGCCCTCCAGGTGTTTTGGACTTCAACTCCTACAATTCCTAACAGCCAGTAGGCTGTTAGGAATTGTGGGAGTTGAAGTCCAAAACACCTGGAGGGCCGAAGTTTGCCCATGTCCGGAATAAAGGACGCAAGTCTGCAGTCTGGGGGTCCTCCTAGATTCAGCACTGATGCTTGAAGCACAGGTGTCGGCGGTGGCTGGGAGGGCCTTCGCACAGGTAAAACTTGTGCGCCAGCTGTGACCGTACCTTGAAAAGTCAGACTTGGCCACAGTTGTCCATGCCTTAGTTTAATCTCGAATGGATGACTGCAATTCACTCTATGTGGGGCTGCCTTTGAAGATAGAAATTACAACAAGTGCAAAGTCCTGCAGCCAGGCTACTGACTAGGGCTAGCTATAGGGAGCATACCACATCCCTACTAAAGCAGTTCCACTGGCTGTCCATAAGTTTCCGGTCCCAATTCAAAGTGCAGATTATCACCTACAAAGTCCTATACGGTTTGGATCCAGCCTATATATGTGACTGCATCCTCCCATATAAACCTGCATGGGCCCTAAGATCTGCCAGGGAGGCCCTTTTCTCTGTCTCAAGCACAGTTGGTGGGGACAAAGGAGAAGGCCTTCTCGGTTGTGGCTCCCCTGCTTTGGAATGCTCTCCCCAGGGAAATCAGGCAAGCCACCACTATTCAGTCCTTTGGAGGGAGTTGAAGACATGGCTATTCCAACAAGTCTTTGGTAATGGCTAGGCATCATCTAAACTGGATGACCTTAAACAGAATGATGTTTTACCCCTGTCATTTTAATGTTGTTTTCAAAATCTGGATAGTAGGTAGGACATTATTGGTTTGTATATCTCGTTTTTAACTTTATTTTTGTTGTTGTGTTTTCACCAGTTACGTGTATTTGAATTTAAATCGTACTATGTTAATTATGGTAAGTAATCCACCCTGAGTCCTTTTGGGGAGATAGAGTGGAATATAAATTATTATTATTATTATTATTATTATTATTATTATTATTTGTTATTTTATGTTTTTTGGTGTTGCTCATTGTTGTGGGCAAACTTTTATGTATTCATCTCTTTCTGTATTGCACTTTTGTTGCCATGTAAGCCACCCCGAGTCCATTTTGGGAGATGGGACGTTTCACCTGCATCTATGGCAAGCATCCTCAGAAGTCAACCTGGATGCTTGCCATAGATGCAGTCGAAATGTCAGGAGAGAATGCTTCTAGAACATTTATTTATTTTATTTATTTAGCAATTTTGTATACCGGTCTTCTCCCCTCTATCGGGGGACTCGGGCCGGTTTCCAACAATAAAATCACAAAACAATCATTAAAAACATCATATAACATATTCAATTAAAACGTTATAATAGAAAAATGCAATCACATAATAACAATGGTCAGTCGTCATAGTGAATTCGTTCGTTGTCCATCATTCATCGTCATCTATCCGATCACAGAAATATTGATTCACTCGTCGAAAGCCAAACCCCATAGCCAGGTTTTCACCCGTTTTCTGAACGACAGAATGGAGGGGGCAGTTCTGATCTCCAGTGGGAGAGAGTTCCAGAGTCAAGGGGCCACCACTGAGAAGGCCCTGTCCCCTGTCCCCACCAGACGCGCCTGAGAGGCCGGTGGGACCGAGAGCAGGGCCCCTCCAGACGATCTTAACAATCTAGATGGTTCATAGGGGAGAATACGTTTGGACAGGTAAACTGGGCCGGAGTCGTTTAACATGGCCATATAGCCCGAAAAACCTACAACAACCCAATTAGTTAATTCTTCAAGTGTTTCCAAATTCCAAATGTAAACATATCACTTAGGCATTGATGCTCTGGCCTCATCTACTCTGCCATTGTAGAAGTCTACGCCAGGCATGGGCAAACTTATTTTAAGAGACCGCCTGTTGCAAGATATACACTAATTTCTCTACCAGAACGAGGAGTCTAACGAATAAAAATTTCCACTTGAGGCCATATTTTGTCCTCAAACATTTCGCAGCTGAGAATAACCTCTCATTGAGGAAGCTGTGCCAGGTTGCCATGGGAACGAGCATGGTTGTTGCGAGGAGTGACAGGCCCGGTCTAGGCCTCATCTTGTTCTGAGGCTGAACTCAGTCAGGTAAACAACCTTCCACACTGTTCCCTGGGGCTCCTTGATGCTTAACAGTTATAACACTCCAGGCATGGGCAAACTTGGGCCCTCCAGGTGTTTTGGACTTCAAGTCCCACCATTCCTAACAGCCTCAGGCCCTTTCCTTTTCCCCCTCAGCCGCTTAAGCGGTTGAGGGGGAAAAGGAAGGGGCCTGAGGCTGTTAGGAATGGTGGGACTTGAAGTCCAAAACACCTGGAGGGCCCAAGTCTGCCCATGCCTGCTGTAGGCCTATGTGAGGACTTTTTGCTTTTCAGAATTGTGGATTGCCTTGTGTTTGACACTTGTGGTGTACATGCACCCATAGACTGCCTATCCCAGTTGAAGCCATATGATCTATCTATCTATCTATCTATCTATCTATCTATCTATCTATCTATCTATCTATCTATCTATCTATCATCTAAATAACATAACTCAAAAACCACTGGATGAATTGACACCAAATTTGGACACAATACACCTATCAGGCCAATGAGTGACCGTGCAGGTACAACTGTACCAGGAGCTCCATATTTGTTTGCTTTGCATTGAATGTTTATTGTAGTCCTAAGTTTCAGGGACTCTGCAGATAGGTGGCTTCTTTT